ATGACTCTATCACTGTCTGTTTGCTTTGAAATGATGTTTTGTCTCCACAAATAACACAAGCCTGAAGGAGTTCTGCCATGTTGTGGAGTTGCTAATGCTAACAGTTAGCTTCCACTAGTCAAGATGTGATCTGCTCTTTCCTGGTCGCTAAATCAACAACAGCCTTCCAACTGTGAGCCAAGATAAGTGAGTCCATGATTGCTAAATGCTGACAGTGTGACGTAGATCTGTCAGTCTTTTTTAAACCAAGCTTTTTTTCTGTCTATGTTCTATTTGAGACTAATGCTGAAAAAAAGGGGTAGAAACTCACTTCACGTTCAGTCTGCATGTTACACTCGTCTTCGATGATGATTGGATCACTGCTCATCCATCAAATTGCTCTGACCATCTCTCACCCTGCTGCTCTCTGTGCATGAATCATACTTTCCCTGCTTGGAAGGACCCAAACACGAAGCAACGCTAGTTGAGGTGCCTAGAGTCATGAGTGGAATACCCTGTTGTAGGGCTGGGCAATAACTTCAAAATAAAATCTCCATTTATTGCATTTCAAATCCTAATTCCTGTACCTCTCACAGCTAAAAATACATCCAAAAGTGCAGACTAGATAAGAAAGAAATCACATCTTTACAATTATGGAGATTAAAACTCTTTGCTAGCTACTTGACGGGGGAGTAGATGTTAGCATTTACAGTCCAGGGTAGGGGGTTCTGGATTCGACACTACCCAGATGACACAAGCCTGTTCCATCAAGCCATTCACATTCAATAAATCCACAACTGGGTGTACTGGTGTTACAAATCATAAATAAATATACTTTATTAATCCCATAGTGGGAAAATCCTCATGTTAAAGTTCAACTTCATTAAAAAATCATTTTTCATTACTATTTCTGATTATAACCATTCACTCAAGAGTTTGTCATGCAGACTAAACATGACAATAGTCCTCTACTTAATTTCCTGCATTAGCTTATGATAAAAGACAGATGGTGAAACCTGAGGGTTTGAAAATCCTGACACATCTACGTCACACAGCCACCTAACATTCATTGACCCACCCATCTTGACTCACAACGGGGAAGGCTGTTGTTGGTTTAACATCCAGAAAACAGCAGAGAACACCTCGACAAGTGGAAGCTGCAAAGTAAACTAAGTCAGTGATTGAGTCGTGTTGAAGGCAAGTTGTCCAAATATCAGGAAATAAAATTCCAAATCCTGTTGTCTGAAGCTACTCTTACCTTCAGCTCTTTCTTCCTGTTCTGCTTTTCCTGGAATACACTGACTGCCTTTTCTTCCTTATTTTCTTTTTCCCATTTCTCACTTCTTTTGATCACAATTTTTGCTTTTCCCATATTTTTTATCAATTTTTAAATTTCTTTGTTTTTGATTTTCTTTTGTTATTTATTTATTGCAAGCCATATCGTCACCACAATATTATTATTACTTGTAGCACCACCTTAATGGAAACCAAGGTGCTGCTGAACACTATTTAAAAACATGGATAGACATCATGACAGCTAAAATAGAATTAAAAATAGCATTAAGTGCAATAAATAGATAAACACAAGTAAAAGTAATTCAAAGCAACGCAAAACAAAATAAAAAGTAAAAACACAAAAGCCAGTGTGAACAGTGTTGGGGAAAAGCAAACAAGTAAAATTGGGTTTTCTTACGAGACTTAAACATCTAAAGAGCTGGAGCTTGCTTTACTTCTAGAGGGAGCTCCCTCCAAAAGAATGGAGCCATTACTGAGAAGGCCCGGTATCCCTTTGATGTCAGTTTAGAGTGCAGGACTTCCAGCAATCCCTACCCAGCAGAGCGAAGGGCCCTAGAGGGGACACGCCTGTTGCAGCCAGATGTGGGGGAGCACTGCCCTGCAGAGCCCTGTTTACATAGAGGAGGATCCTAGTCCTAGTCAGAAATCTGACAGCAGAGTTTTGAACGAGTTGGAGCTGGGCAGTTGCAGCCTGACTCAATCCAGCATATAATACATTATAGTAGTCAAGGCATGACATGATAAAAGCATGTACCGCTGTTTCCAAATGGGCTCTATGAGAAGCTGTATCTTAAATTGCAGTCTCAAATTAAAAAAGCATGCCCGGACAACCATGTTTATTTCTGCATAGAGTTTAAGGGCCACATCCATGGGCGTTGCACCAGTGGAGAAAGTGGGTGTTTAAACACCCATATTTTTCTAATGAGATTAAACACCCACACTTTTCCCGCAGTTTAGCTAAAAAACTTTACAATCAGTTTGGTCCCTCCGTGTTTCTCTGGCTGTTTGCCCTCTCCACTCCCTCTCCTGTTGCTAATTGAATTCAACACCTTTGTGCACCGGTGTTACATCAGTATTCTGGTCAGTTTTGTTGTTGAAACCCGTTTCCCCACCGGTCAAGTGGCAAAAATGCTTCCGCGGTATGCTCAATGCATACAATGCTCGACTTCCTGTCCAATTCCTTCCAATCCTACTGAGCATCTTTGGAAGTAGCTGAAACATGCCATCTGGAAAAGGTGCCGTTCAAACCTGTGACGACTGGAGCAGTTTGCTCATAATGGGTCAAAATACCTGGAGAGGTGTAGAAGTCTCATTAGCCGTTTTTACAAAATAATGCTGTCAATTTGACACAGTGTCATGGCAGCATCAGGGACCCTTAGGTCAGTTATATGTGGTCAGACAGTGGCAGTAATGTGGCGCAATCATGTCCTTTTTAGAAAAGATTAGGCAATGGCGGAATAAAGGGGTTATGGGGGCGGTCTCTGCAATGCTGCAGACTTCCATTTATCTTAGTTTATTATTTAATACGGTGGGTACGGAGAGCATTGTGACCCCCGTCAATTTTTCTTTCTCTGCTATATTGCAGCCAATTGTTAAAATCAATTAAATACATTTTTTCCCTGATTAATATACACATAGCACCCCACATTGACAG